TTCTCTGGGCTATAGAATATAGAAGGGGCTTTTTTGGGTGGAAAAAGCAAGTTTGCCGGCCTATACACTTTTGGGGTGTGAGGGTGTCTTTGGATCGTCGGCATTCTGCAAGGACTCAGAGTTTCTGGGTACCTGCTCGAAAGCCACAGGAAAAATAGGTAAAAACGCAAAAGGGCCACAATCCAGAGTCGAGGTAGGCTGGGCGATGGCTTCAAGGATCACGAGCATTCTGGACTTTGGGGGTTAGGAGTTTAGGGTTTATAGGAATTTCGGAGTTTTGGGTTTGGAGCTGAGGGTTTTTATGTGGGTTGCGGCTGAAGGGAACCGGCGCATTCGCCCGCATGATCGGACCTCAATACACGTGCCAGTGGCACTCCCAACAGCCAATTTAGGGTTTAGGGTTTAGGCAACCCCACCCCACCCCAACAAAAAACACAAACAACAGAACATGAACAGTGCACCTAGTTGGAAGGCCTTTCGGATCCACAGAAACCCTTCATTAATCCAACAAAAACAACTGAGTAACCCTTTGTACTAAGTCAGAAGGAAACCCAGAGCATGGCAACCCTTTTTCTACGCACCCTAAGTCCTACAAACCCTAAACCCCTAAACCCCTGAATCCCTAAACCCCTGCCTAAACCCCTAAACCCCTAAACCCCTAAACCCCTAAAACCCCTAAACCCCGAAACCCCGAAACCCCGAAACCCCGAAACCCCTAAACCCCTAAACCCCTAAACCCCTAAACCCCTAAACCCCTAAACCCTAAACCCTAAACCCTAAACCCCAAACCCTAAACCTCCCAAAAGGCTTTGAGCTTCGGAGCTGGCACGAAGAGCGCCACGGCCGCAAATTGCTCTGCGGACAGGAATGGCTCGTACATATCAAGCTCCTCTTGGGTTTAGGGTTTAGGGTTTAGGGTTTAGGGTTTAGGGCTCTGTAGGGCTAGGGTTCTATAGGGGCAGGGTTTTGGGTTTAGGGTTTAGGGCTTAGGGTTTAGGGCTTGGGGTTTGGGCTTTGGGGGTTTGGGGGTGTGGGGTTTGGGGTTTAGGGTAAAAAAGCGACCAAGACACGGAAAGATCTTTCTGAGCACTTTCTGCACTGTATATCCTACACCCGTGTCACGTGCTACCATGGGCAAGCTCTCCTTCTTAACGAAGAAGGCACCTCACGTGTATGCCCGCACAAGGTGAACCCCACTAAACCCTTTAGGGGCTTTAAAGCCCGAAGCCCTAAACCCCAAGGCCCCTGATTTGCCCCAAAGCCCGAGGAACACCCAAAACAACACAGGGTTTAGGGTTTAGGGTTTAGGCTTTAGGCTTTGGGGGTTTGAGGTATAGCAAACGCCCCGAAGACACCGAACCTGGTGCTCGAAGACGACCGGGATGCAGCCCAAGACGATGGAGTCCTTAGCTTTTAGGACTTTAGAGTTTAGGATGTTGAAAGATCATAGGGTTTAGGGTTTAGGGCTTTAGAGGTTAGGATGTTGAAAGTTCATAGGGCTTGATTCTCAAGAGATCTGGTTCTGTGGTTCTTGCTGCTGGTTCAGCAGTTTAGGGCTTGAGATGATTTTCAGATTTCGGGCTTCCTGTGTTGGGGCTGTTCAGGGTAGAAGGCTGGTTGATTTCGGGCTTGGCCTGCCCTAAAACCAGGGTTTCGGGAGAACTGTCCACAAACCTGGCAGATGATGCATCGACTGTCTGTGGCTTGAGGGTTTCAAGGGGCATTCAGAGCCCTCAGCGTTTTGCATCTGGACTTCCAGGGAACCCCTGTTGAGTTCTAGGTAAACCCGAAACCCCTTATCCTGAACAAGATTTTGCATCCAGGCCTATGAGATTGCCGGGCATTGCGAATCCTAACCCCCAAAACCTTTTTGCATCCAGACCCTGTCTGTTAAGGGTATAAGGACCCTAAAATTTATTAACCCTTGCAAAAAATATAGCCCCTAAATAACCCCGAAATAACCCCTAAGGTCCCTTATAAGGGTCCCTCCTTTAGCCCCTTGAGTCAAGCCCCTAAACCCTCGTGCGGAGGCCTTTCAGGGTCGAGGTAGCGGAGGCTCCCTGTTCCGCCTCTTCTACCGGACTCGACCCAGTTTCTGTACACAAGCCATAGGGGGGTTGTACGAAAATAGGGGGACCTTCTCGGGGTTCTTCTGATAAGGGAATCCTGCTAGTTGGAGTCTTTATCAGGGCTATTATCGTAAGCCCCCATCTGCTCCGCTTAAGCCCTCATACGATCATGAACTTCATGAACCTACAAGTGTTGAAGACAGTCCTTTGGGTTTGGCCCTAGCCAATAAAGCTCAACATAATTCTTGGAGAGAGAGAGAGAGAGACTTAGTTGCTGAGTTCATAAGCCCCAAAAAGTGTACACTTTCAGTTCTATAGGGGATTATAGTATCCCAAAAAGTGTAAAGCGTGCTCACTCAGCTACTAAGGAGACATCCTCAGATATCCAGGTTGCGAAACTTTTTCCCAGCTCTGGGTCTGATTTCCCACCAAACATCTGTACACTGTACACCGCGGGCTCTTCGTCTGCTTGGAGGTTCATGGCACTTATTAACCAATTATAACTGTACCTATAACCCATCATACGCCCCTTCAGTGCCCCAATATGGTTAGAAGTACAGTTACAAGTAGAGTTTTAATTGGTTAATAAGTACCATGAACCTCCAAGTGCACTGTACACCCGCGGGCTTTTGGTCTGGCTCCTGTGTCCACGACCCTCGTCAGTGGAACATGGTGTCATGCACGTGTTGGGCGCTGCCTTCATCCAATGCTGCTTGGACATACCTCCCAGCGCCCACGGTCACCTGAGTGCGGTTTAGGGTTTAGGGTTTAGGGTTCAGGGTTTAGGGTTCAGGGTCTTGGGGGGGGGTCTCCGAAAGGATAATCTTTGGGATTGCAGGGTCAGTGCTTAATGTTATAATCCCTTTGTGGGTACACTAAACATGAGGGGCCTCCTTGTACTAGCAACCAAAAGGGACCAGAACCTAGAGAAGTAACCCATATGGGGGTTCTACGACCAGGGTACTTATTGGGATGTTCCCCCTTATTCTAACAGCCCTTCATCAGGAATATGGTACCCCCCCCCCCCCCCCTAGTAAGAATCCCTATTAAGGACTGATCGTACAAGGGGGAACCTCCCAAGGTAGCTAGTCTACCACAAAGTCACAAAGTCTCTGGCAACTTCCCGGGCTCGGCTGCGCTTTGCGACATCCTCGGGGCTGGCCAGAGAGGCGTCCAGCATGGGGCCGGCGCAATGGTTCACGGTGCCCTCCACATCCGCAAATGTGAGTGCTGCCCAGACCTGAAGTAGCCCAGTACCACATGGGCAGATGTCAAAATTAGGGTCCCTTTTTTTTGGACACCCTAGATATGTTTGGTGCCGTATGAAAGAAAAAGGGACCCCAAAAGGGACCAGAATTTTGACCACCACCCATATGAAGAGGGCACCCTTGTTGTGGTTAGCTGCTTCATAAGGGAACCTTTAGCCAAAAAGAAGGGTAAACTAGTTCATGGTTGGGATCGTATTAAAAATTTAAATTCCTATTCCTTATTGGGTTTAAGTAAAAATGTGAAATGTTACCCAACTATGACAAAGTAAAGGAGTACCACTGGGCGGGCAAGAGGCCAGTGGCCAAATCAGTGCTTTGCGATAGTCGTCTTTGAGCTGATCCAGGGAGTAAGAGCTGCCAGACAAGCTGCCGAATTCCCTGATGTAGAGTGCCAGCAGGTCCTTAGTTGCTGAGTTCAGAAACCCCCCCCCCCCCCCCAAAAAAAAAAAAAAAGTGTACACTTTCAGCTCTATACGGGATTATATTATCCCCAAAAAGTGAAGAAAAGTGCACTCATTCGGCTCCGAAGAGTCCTCTTGCCACGCTCGCCGATCTGAGACGGCCAGAGAGCCACTGAGCGTGTAAGCGAGGTCCAAGGCAGCCGCCCCTCGGGAAACAACTTGCCAGTCGAAGAGCTTCACCTTACTTCCCAGATACCCATGGGGTAGAAAGTTCAAACTTTCAGAATAAGACTAGGACTAGGGGTAAGAAGGTTCAAACTTTCAGAGTAAGACGACCTTAATAAGAGGCCAAAAGTCTGAAAGAAGTCGGGTACCCTAAGCCCTAAACCCTAAACCCTAAACCTTAAACCCTAACCCCTAAACCACTACAAGTCACTTGCGGATCCTCCTTCTCTTCGAAGAACGCATTTCCTTGCCGCGCATCCAGGTGGACGACTGTGATGGGGGCGGACTGCATCCTATACTCCCCTTAGAACCTTAATAAAAATACTATTTTGAATATGCTCTTGGGGTTTAGGGTTTAGGGTTTAGGGTAAAAATGAAAAAGAATTCCCAAGGGGGGATATAGCATCACCAAGTCGACGGCACGCTCATAGAGTCCAGGCTTTGCTGCCAGCTGCAACATGTCCATGACACTCCTGGGGGTTTTGGGTTTAGGGTTTAGGGTTCAGGGTTTAGGGTTTAGGGTTTAGGGTTAGTTTGGGGTTTCCGAAATTGAGGGTACCTTATTGGGGTCCTTATTCTAAGGGACTCCTATTCTTTGGGGGACCATATTGAGGGTCCCTGATTTTCGAAAACCCCCTCCTGGCACCAGTGGCATCGGCCATGGATGTATCCAGTGCAGCTAGTAGCTTCTCCTCTGTGATCTTGGATACACTGCTTCGAAACAAGTCAGGTAGGCCAATCTTCAACAGGTGGCCGTCCCTGCAATCCTCCAGCCAAGGCAAACTCTGATGCCCGTCAAGACCCCATGCATGAAGTCGAGCAAGAAGACTAACCAATGCTTCGGCTTGGCATCTCGAAAGACCTGCGTTCGATCCGGTGCGCCAGCCATCCTCGGCAGGGTTTGCAGAGATGTCGGGGCCCTTCGGCCCCTCGCATGTGCCGTTACACTACCCTGCTCAGACATAGAAACTACCGATATCAATGTGCCTATCTCATCCCGCCCCTGCATGGCTCCTGCACGAACTCCAGCACGATGACAGACATGTCGGGACGGAGGTCGACGGCGTTCAAGTCGAGCAAGCCGACGCCGGCCTGGTGCAGCGGCTGCCACGCGCTCTGATAGAAGAGCGCCTCCTCGGTGCACATGGGGGGGGGGGGGGGGGGGGGTTCCGAATTTTTTTGGGGTACCTTCTTGGGGATCCTTACTATAAGGGGCTCCTACTATTTGGGGGTCTAGATTTGGGGTCCCTTATGTTCGTAAACTCCCACATCAAGACAACGGATTCGAAGAACGGTCACCTTGCAGGCTTGGCAAGTTGTTGACTGGACAACTGAAATCATAGCCAGATAGGATGAAGAAAGATTACCTGGGACTCTTTTGACCTACAGTGTAGTGGAAGCTACCCCTTAACTAGTAGATATGACCCAATAAAACTGTAGATAAAAGAGAGTCCCAGGTAGACCCTATAAACCCTAACCCTAAACCCTAAACCCTATAAACCCTAAACCCTAACCCTAAGCTCTTAACAGACAAGCCGCCCTGTGAACCGAGGCTGCTAAGGCGTCACCGGGCGCTTGCCGCGTGACCTTGAGCCTAGGCTGGCGCTTAAATCCCTCTAAAATGTATTCCTGAGTTGGGCTTAGGGTTTAGGGTTTCGGGTTTTGGGCTTAGGGTTCAGGGCTTACGATCATATAAGTTAAACCCAATCAGAAGGCAACATATGAAAATGCCCCAAGAACCTACCGAGGGGCAACAGAGGGCCTTGCTTGCATTGGACTTTCACCAGAGTGCTTGAGGAGTTCCTTAGTTGCTGAGGTCATAAGCCCTCCAAAAGTGTACACTTTTTGGTTTTGTACAGATTATGGTATCCCAAAAAGTGCAAAGTGTACTCACTCAGCTACTAAGATTCCCCTCAGCTTCCAGGACGTCGAAGTGCCTGGGTTGGCGCCTTTAAGCCCTTTGAAAAGTGGTTGTATTCTCAGGGTCCCTTTGTAAATTCCAAATAAGGAAAGTCACAACATGTCCCAAACGTCCACCTAGGTGCTCCATGTTCAACTGCCGTCCCACTAGAGATGACAGCCAGGCATCCGATAGGAGTTCTGAGAGCCACTGCATGGCTGGGATACGATGGCTAAACGAGGTTTCTCGCTACACCCGCTGAAAGGCGACGGAGCAACCCGCGGCAGATGAGAAAGCAACCTTCTCTACAGCAACTGACAAAAAAGTGCCAGTGGTTGGTTGTTGCCCGCTTCAAAAGAATGTTGAAGACTTCTGTGAGCCTGCGCGGCAGAGGTTCGGAAGCACATGGCCAACCCATGGCCTAGCCACTAAAGAGCAATTCTGCATGTTATTGATCCAGATGCGGACTATGTACATGAAAACTTAGTTGTCCGGTAGCCTAAAAGGTTAACCTCGGGGATTGTGTAGGAAAAAGCCCCAAAAAAGTTAAAGGTTCTCTACTCTACTACTAAGAAAAGCTACTGAGATGATCGGGGGGGACGTCGGGGGTTCATGGCGGCAGCTGCCTGGCCCCTAACCTTCTACGGATTCCGTGACCTCTCAAACGAGGTCCAAGCACGTCATGGGTTTAGGGTTTAGGGTTTAGGGCTTAGGGTTTAGGGTTTAGGGTTTGGGGGCTTTACCCGAAACCCAAACCTCAACCCTGTAGCGGCACCCTGCTTTCAGAAAACCGAAAAGCCCTAAAAACCCTAACCCTATTGGGGTGCCTTGTTTTCAGAAACCCCCATGCATTTTTTCGAGGGCTCCAGGGGCTCAGAGGAAGGGGGGTTTACCAAAAAATAGTGCACCCTAACAGAGGCCCCCCAAATAGTAGGATTCCCTTACGATAAGGACCCCAAGAAGGTACCCCTTATTTCGGTACCCTAAACGAACCCTAAACCCTAAACCCTAGGCCCTAAATCCTAAACCATAACCCTAAACCATAACCCAAAACCCTAAACCCCCCATAACCCTAATTTCGGAAACCCCCCAAAGCAGGGCCGAGGATCGACAAGGCTCTTGCGCGTCACCGTATCGCCCGGAGGCTCTAAGCCTTGGCATGAAATTTGAGGCTTCAGGGCTTGGATAACCCTAAAACGCCTAAACCCTTAACCCAGTATCCCTAAACCCTAAACCCAGTATCCCTAATCCCCAAAAACCTGGCTTAGGGGTCAGAGCTTGAGGACAAAGGCGTTTACGGTTCAGGGCTCTCGACGCAGCAGTGAACGCCGCAATCCTGGAAGGCTTTGACATCAGCTGTTGGCTCGTCGGAGGCTCCACATGCACATGCTTTAACATTGCGTCGATGCTGGGGGGTTTAGGGTTTAGGGTTTAGGGTTTAGGGTTTAGGGTTTGGGGTTACATCTTCTTAGCAGCAACCGCAAAGATGCCCTACACCTAAGCCGCCCAATGCCTTCTGGGCTTCTCTTGTCAGGCCTGGGTAGGAGTGGGGGGTGAGGTACCTATGGGCTACTCTGTAGTACCTTTTTTTTTTTTAGTATACTATATAACCCAAAGAAGAATGACCTTAAGAGCCCTCAGATAAACCCAGCACAGAACCCTCAACCCCAAAAAGGTCCCCTTAAACCCTTACACCCCAAAACCCTAAACCCACAACCCTTAAAAGGTCCCCTTAAACCCTTACACCCCAAACCCTAAACTCAGTTTCTAAGTTGCTTTTCTCAGGCTAATCCTAGCCAGGAGAACTACAGGTTAACCTTGGGGATTATACAGGGATTATAATGCCCCAAAGAGGTTAAAGGTCATCTACTCACCCTAAACCCTAAACCCTAAACCCTAAACCCTAAACCCTAAACCCTAAACCCTAAACCCACGAAGTTCAGGCCAAGAGGCAGAAGGTGGATTGCAACTTCACCTCGGCGATGCGGCGGTAGCTGTCTCCTCTCTCGCGCGCGGGCCGGACGGCTGGGATTATGTGAGGGGTTTAGGGTTTAGGGTTTTGGGCTATATATAGGAAGCATGAAGCACTAAAACCATGAAACGCCCTGTAGGTTTCTTAGTAGCCCAGTAACCATATTATAATCAGGGCACCCCTTTTTTGGTTGGTTAGTTATAAGGGAACCAGAACCAAAAAATGGGAAAAGGATACCACTGGGCTATTTAGGTTTGGTTGGTGAAAATTGCCACTAGGGTTTTTGCTGTTTGTGGGTGTATCCCCCAAGTCCAGTACCCCTTCAAGGTCGCCCTGATATACCCTAAACCGTTTAGGGTTTAGGGTTTAGGGTTTAGGGTTTAGGGTTTAGGACCCCATGCAAACCTTGCGGAAGTCTTGGGGTTGAGATCTGCAGCAAAGCACCTTCTTCGGTCGTGACAGCGCCGTTGACTTCCGGCAGATTGGTCTCGCGACCACACCTGGTTCTGCTGAAATAGGGTTGGGGTTTGGGGTTTTGGCCCCTGAAGACCTTTGAAACAAACAACGACCCTTTTTTTCCAGGAGGGCGCAAGAGCAAATATCCCAAACCCTTCGTAAACCCTAAACCCTGAAACCCTAAACCCTAAACCCTACCTGCGAAAAGCTTCTGCGCAAGTTGAGCGCAGGCGCGCTGCGGGTATTTCCCGGGATATGCCCCCCTCCCGGCCCCCCAACAAAAAAAGTATACCCCTTATATGATAGGAACAACAAGAAGGGTCTAGGGTTTAGGGTTTAGGGTTTAGCGTTTAAACCCCAACAAGGGCACAACCCTATTTAGGAGAGCCTCCCCCCTCCCACAGGGAGGAAGTAGGCAATCTGGGTTTACGCCTGATCAAGATCATTCTGGGGGTCCAACGTCTGGTCCCCTAAGCCTAAACCCTAAACCCTTTTGAAACCCTAAGCGCTAAACCCTAAGGCCCCTAGATAATCATACACCCTGAACCCCAAGAAGAGTGCTGCTGTGTGAGCGCTCGCGCAATGTCTCGGCCTTGCAGACCCTTTCATTCAGCACTACTTAGTAGCCCAGTATCCCTCTCCATAGTTACTTAAAAGAAGGGTACCCTTCTTGTGGTTGGTTACTTTATGAGGGAACGCAGAACCAAAAAATGGGTAAAGGGTACCACTGGGCTACCAAGACGACTAGCACAACCCCATGAACCCCAAACCCTGCGCCAACACTCCTCATGCCTCACAACTCAAGCTTGAAGATGCTTTTCTTGTTGATTTCGGATTTGGGGTTAGGGTTTAGGGTTTAAGGTTGAGGTTTAAGGGTCCTTGAGAGGAAGCTCATTGGAAGCTAGCGGCAAGTGCACTGAGGGTTGAATTCTTTAGGGGACAACGGCTAAAGCTTGGGGCTAGAGATTTGTTGCAGGTCACCTATTCAGGGCTTTTGCAGCAATTATTGGTTCAGAGTGTAATTAGGGTTGTAATTAGTAATCTCCCTAAACCCGAAACCCTAAAACCCTAAACCCGAGGTAGAGGTCGCTTATTTGGCAGCAGCCAACGAGAAAGAGGACTCCCCCACCTGGTGCATCGGTTGCACTGCTCCGTGATGACACTGCGGAGATGGCCCGCGATGCCGCGTCCTCCAACTAGGGTTCGTACAAATGGAGAGGCCCATGTTTGAGGCTACCGCACCGAAACCCTAAACTGCCCTAAACCCTAAACCCTAAACCCTATACCCTAAACCCTTTTTGCCCTAAATCCTAAACCCTAAACCCTTTTTGCCCTAAACTCTAAGCCCCAAGCCCTAGGGTCAATTTTGAGGCTACTTGTCGGTCTCTTGGAGTCTTGCCACACTGGTTTTAGGGGTTTAGGGTTCAGGGTTTATAGGTATAGGGTTTAGGGTTTAGGGTTTAGGGTTTAGGGTTTAGGGTTTAGAGCACTTAAGGGCAAGAAGGTCGTCTTCTCCTGTGCCCGTGAAGCTCCACAAGTAGCGTGCCTTTTCAAGAGCGGCTCCAAGTTTGTAGGGTCTTGGGGGTTCAGGGTGTCATTAGGGTTTAGGGTTTAGGGTTTAGGGTTTAGGGTTTAGGTGTTTTGGGGTCTTATTGGGGTAGTCATGGGGTTGAGGGCATTAGGGGGGGTTTAGGGTTGTACTAGGGTTTCTGTCCATATATACCCTAACTGGAAGTGCAATAGCAGTGGTGCGGGGTACATGATCCGAACTTTAAGGACCATTTTGTTCCCCTAAACCCTAAACCCTACACCCTAAACCCTAAACCCTAAACCCTAAACCCAAGGTGTTGCAAACATCTTTGAGGAACGAGGACCCACCCATAGCAGCCATCAGCATCCACATCTTTGGCGGACCAAATGATGCCCCCGCAATTACCCTTAGGGTTTAGGGTTTCGGGTTTAGGGTTTAGGGTTTAGGGTTCTGCTTAGGGCTCCATGAACCTACATGGGGAATACTTGGCCCTCACAGTACTTTCTATCTACGAACTTTGGGGCCCAAGTATATAATCATAAGGTACATGGACCCTTAGGGTTACCTCACACATCACGGGTTCTCGTAGTATAGGATATCCCTTTGTCCCCAAGACCTTTTGCACTCACCAGTATTTGTGAATCCCATCGACACTCAATGACAGAAATATGGGCAGCTTCCCACAATATAACCCCGCAGAAGTCGTAATCCTGTCATGGTAGGAACCCTCTTAAACCATAACCCGATGAGATCCAACTTCATATATACTCCTACTTGCTGAAGAACCCCCCCCCCCGGGCAAAACAAAAAAAAAAACACCTATATTGCCCCGAATGAAGGAAGAACCTTTTTGGAGGGTCCTTGAGCATTATAATACCCTAAACCCTAAACACCCTACACCCTAAACCCGGCAAGTTGCAAAACCTCGCGAGCGCAGCTTCGCGGGAGTGGCATCCGCATGTCCATGGTAGACAGCCGGGTAAGGGAACTGATACCTCAGTTTTCTACTATTTGCCTAAGAACCCCAAAAGAATGAAACATAATTATCCCTGTCTCTGAAGCGGCTTCGGGTTCATCGGGCCTTTCGGATTCTCCAGGGCTTCGATTTATAGTGCTTAGAGGGCTTCGAGGCTTAGGATTTATAGGGTTTGGGAGGTTATAGTGTTTCTAGGGTTTTCTAGGGCTTAGGTTTATAAGGTCTATAGAGGGGTTTGAGGATTAGGATTTATAGGGTTTGGGGGGAGGGGGTGGGGGGGGTGTTGTAGTTTAGGATGTTCACCCTTATACTAGCAGTTAGGGATGATAGTACCCCCCCCCTATTATTCCCTATTCAGGGCTGTTAGTATAAGGGGAACATCCCAAGTCATAATGTTACTGGGGTTTGCAGGAGTTACCCTAGACCTCCAAGTATACAGTGGTCTAAAGTCTGTAAATAATACCTACTTTGGGCTATTTGGAGCGTTAGGGAAAAGTCTAAATTGCCTTGAAGCCTCAACCTACACCCTAAACCCTAAACCCTAAACCCTAACCCCTAAACCTAGGGTTGATGGGCGGGCTCACAAAGGCCGAGAGGCCAGATGAAGGGCTTTCCATCTGTCCAGCCTTCTCGAGGCAGGGGCTTGTGAGAACTTACGAGCCCCTGAACCCGAAACACTCGAGTTTAGGGTTTAGGGTTTAGGGTTTAGGGTTTAGGGTTTAGGGTTAGGGTTTAGGGCCCCAAACGGTAAAACCCAAACATCCCCCCCCCCCCCCCCCCCCCAACCCGCAAGCTTCCGAGAACAGCCGTTCATAGCGCTTGGAGGGTTGCTGTTGGGGCGACTCAGGGGAACGGATGTAGGGATTAGGGATCTGCCCCTACTAAACCCTAAACCCTAAACCCTAAACCCCAAACCCCTAACCCCAAACCCCAACACAAAAGACCAACACCCGAAACTCTGAGCCCCGAATCCTATCGCCCGAAGCCCAGACTCCGCATCGATGGTCAAGAACCCTTCGGGTCTAGGGTTGATGAAGCGAAAGAAGCGCTTCGAGGTTTTCGGGCTTGCTTTAGGGCTTCTAGGGCTTACGTCTTGGGGTTTCGGGTTTAGGGCATGTTACACCCCTAAAACCCTGAACCCTGGACGGGCTGAGGGGTTTTCACCCCCTAAGCTTTAGAGGTTTCGGTTGGGGTGTTCCCCCTTATACTAACGATCCTTAGTAGGGATTCTAGTACCCCCAATTATATTCGCTATTCAGGACTGTTAGTACAAGGGGAAACATCCAAGCTTAGTATCCACCCTGAACCCTAAACCCTAAGCCCTAAACCCTATAAATCCTCATCCAGGGTTTAGGCATTTAGGGCCCCAAGGACTCAATCGCTCATCACCTTCCCTTGAGGTGGAGGTGGGTTTTGCAAGTTGGGACTTCTGGTCGATTTAGGACTACTCGCCTGCTCTTCGTAGGGTTTAGGGTTTAGACTTTAGGGCTCAGGGTTTAGGAGCGGAAGAACCCCAGCTAGCAAAAAACACCAGACATTACTACGATCTTGATGACGATATAATCTCATATGCCATATGTTATTGCATATCAAGAACAATGACAGATGGTCCGGCTCGACTGGGAGTTTTCGAACTCGGTCGCCTTTCTTTTCTTCATGTACTATTACACCCTAAACCCTAAACCCTAAACCCTAAACTCTAAACCCTAAACCCTAAACCCTAAACCCTTAGTCGGGACAGCCTTCTGGCCCAGTTTCCTCGAGGCCATTCAGCTCGATGTTCACGCGGTGAAACATGCGGAAGGGCATCGCCAGCTGCCACCTGAGTTGGTGCTTTTGTTTTAGGGTCTAGGGTTTAGGGTTTAGGGTTTAGGGCTTAGGGTTTAGGGTTTACGGTTTTTGGGTTTTTGAGTTTAGGGTTTAGGGCCTTGCAGAACGGTTTAGGGGCCTATAGAGTACATAACTCCTATATCCTATATAAAACATCATGCACAACTGGGGATTTGGAGGGGCACACGTGGAAGCTCTTTGGACTTAGTTGTGGGTTTCTGCTGCATGATCTGAACCCTCAACCCTACTAAGTCAAAAGGGCAGCTTGCAAGCAGGGGTTGCCAAGGCACATGTAGTTGCAAGTTTCCCAACCGCGCGCGTCCGCAAAGAGGTGGCGGGAGGCTTTCTCAGTTCCCCAGGCTGGGTCCTCGTCAGGGCGAAGCCAAATGCAACGAAATTTCAATTTGCCTAACCCTAAACCCTAAACCCTAAACCCCTTTTGTGAGGTTCCTGTGCAGCAGCCTAGAAGGAAGCGAGCCGGCCTGAAGTGAAGGATTCAACTGAAACAAGGTGTTGAAGAGGTCCCCACCATCAGCGCAGGGAGTCTCTTCACCTTTGGGTTTAGGGTTTAGGGTTTAGGGTTTAGGGTTTCGGGTTTCGGGTTTGGGGTTTAGGGTTTAGGGTTTGGGGTTTGGGGTTTAGGGCTTGGGCGCCTCTTATGCCAAGCCCAGCAGCCCCCAAAAAAACCCCTGAAACCTCTTTGTTTTTAACAAAACACCGAAGCATCTTTTATTTGCGAGAGCAGATATCAAGGACCCTAAACCTTAAACCCTGTAAACCCTAAACCCTAGACCCTACAGTAAACCCCAGAAAGTTGGAACATGGTTTGAGGACGAGTAGAGCTGGGATTCCCTTTAGTATCCCTTTTGGGGCATGGGGATAAGGATGTTCCAACTTTTTCGAGTTTGCAGTAAACCCTAAAACTTTTAGGGTTTAGGGTTCAGGGTCTATGGCTTAGAGCTTGGGGTTTAGGGGAAACCCTAAAACCCCTATATAATAAGATCTAAGGTTGGAATCATGGGCCCTTAAAGTGGTCCCTTGCCCTTGTTTCTAACTAGGGATCCGAAGCATGGGCCCTTATTTCATATGGCGTATATAAGCGTCCAAATAAAGAGCCCAGCCTTCGGATCCCCGAGAGTGGGCACGCTGCTTTCGGGAATTCTCTAACTCTAACATATGGCCTTTGCTGCGGGTTTTTGAAGATTAAGGCGGCGTGGTGTAACAAAAACCCCCTTCCCCCCGCCGTAGATACCGTAAGTAATGTTGCAAGAGAACCCTAAACCCTAAACCCTAAACCCTAAACCCTAAACCCTAAACCCAAACCCTAAACCCTAAACCCTAAACCCTAAACCCATTCACCAACAGCATCTGGGACAGGAGGCTTGGCTTGAAGCTGTAGGCTGGCACCTTAGCTCAAACTCCAGCATCCCCCCTCTTTGCATGGGTTCTGTATGTAGGGTGTTGAATGGCTTCAAGTAAGCTTCGGGCTGCAGATGCTTCCCAAACACCTACAGAGGCAACTTCACAGCCACACCTACTTCTGAGGGCGGTGCGAAGACAAAAGGCACAGAGGGCTCGTGCAAGCCAGCGTGTGCAACCACCCCGGCTTCTGAGGGCGGTGCGAAGACCAGGCATGCAGAGGCTCGTATAAGCCAACTGGTGCAAATGCGAGACAGGATTTCCAGACCGCCCAATATACATATATATACAAAGCCTCAGCACCAGAGAGTATGGCCCCAGCCGCGGTGCAGACTGGCAGAGATATCCGGTAGCCAGACGGAGACAGAGCAGGCAGTCCGTGGCCAGACAGGAGTTTGATTGCGCAGGGACCTGGCAGGGGCGCAGGCGAACGGGCCTAGGCTGTCATCCAGCGTTCAGAGGCGCCCGAGCCGAGCTCGGCCCGGCGGCGCAACACGGCTCGGGCACGGTGGCTCCTGACCGCAACGCAGAGCTCCTGCAAGAGGTATCCATGCAGCGTCTCTGCGCCCTCGCCCTCGCGCGTAGCCACCGCTCGAGCGATGTCCCACAGAACCCGCGCAGCCTGCTTGTCCCAGGCGCCCGTGCTCTCGACCACCATGGGCTGGAACTTGACACCCTGACGAGCGCAGTCATCCGCAGTCCCCATGTGCGCCGCCTTGACTGTAGCATATGCAGCCGCAGCCGCTGCCGCTTCTCGCCCCGCCTCCGCGAGGGACTCCAACCGCTGGCATGTAGGGTTTAGGGTTTAGGGTTTAGGGTTTAGGGTTTAGGGTTTAGGGTTTAGGGTTTAGGGTTGAGGGTTGAGGGTTGAGGGTTGAGGGTTGAGAATTAAGGGTGCAGGGCTCAGGGTTCAGGGGTGGAGGCTGGCGGTGTTGCAGCTGCTCGCTGCTACCGGTTTGGGAGGTGTGCTCTTGGAGGTAGGCATGGCCTTCCCTCTGATACCTGAAAGAGGTGTACGGCGTGCCCCTAATTTCGGAAACCCTATAAACCCTAAACCCTAAACCCTAAACCCTCATATGGCCCAAGGAGCGAAGAACACATCAGCCTCGTTTATGTCCTTCGTCCGCCGAGGCGAGTTCATGAATCCTGGGCGGCGTTTGGGCTTTTTGCGGGGTTTAAGGTTTAGGGATAGTTAGGATTTAGGGTTTAGGGATGGTTAGGGTTTAGGGTTTTAGGTTTAGGGATTGAACCTTGGCTTAGGGTTTCGGCTAGGCGGCAGGACGTGGAATCGTGGCAGCGGTTTGGGTCCCTCAGGACTACCAAGGACAGACAGGGTCAAGTTTTGAATGCTTACCTGTTCCCCCCCCCCTCCCCCCCCCCCCCCTCCCCCCCCCCCCTCCCCCCCCCCCTACCCCCCCCCCCCCCCCCCCCACCCCCCCCCCCCCCCCCCCCCCCCCTCCCCCCCAAAAAAACTCTAAACTCTGAAGCTCACCAAGCAGCCTTGTCTCAACCCAGGGTTTAGGGTTTGGTGCTTAGGGTTTGAGCTTTTGGGGTTTGGGAGAAACAAGACTCCCAACAAGAACCCCAAATTAACCCAAATAAGACGACCCCTACATTGCCCTTATGAGGAAGACAACTTATGTTTTTTTTTTGGGGGGGGATTCTTCAGCAAATAGTAGGTTTTGGGGGGGGCTCTTCGGGGTTTAGGGCAGCCGGGAGACGGTAGTAAAGCATCCGCGGCATGTGGAACCTCAATTGGCAGACTGCCGGGCTCAAAGTGGCACCCCCCTGTCGACTTTCGAAATCAGTGTTGTGGCTGAAACTCTAAACCCGAAACCGGAAACCCTACAGTAAACCCTAGTTTCGTCCCCTTTCAGCGGTGCAAAACAAACCTATCAGTCAAACAAACCCTAAACCCTAAACCCTAAAGCCTAAACCCTAAATGCTAAACCCTAAACCCTAAACCCTAAACCCTAAACCCTAAACCCTAAACCCTAAACCCTAAAAAACATCAATCCCGAGCTGCTGATTCGACGCCCAAATTTCGACGCCTTGCACCTCGGGCTCAAGGTGAGGACCCATGACGAGCAGAGATGCTAAGCCCAAGGGTAGAGCCTAGGAATAGCAAGGGTTTAGGGTTTAGGGTTTAGGGCTACCCAAGGCCCAACTAGGAATACAAGGGTGCCCTTTTTGGTCTCAAGGGGCTTAGGAGGGGAACCCAAGCCCTAAAGAAAAGAATCGGGGCCTCCTCTGGGTCCCGGGATGTTTTTGAATCCCTACGTCCCCAAGGGCCCTAAGAATTGAAGAGAACAACTCTTATGGATTTAGGGTTTAGCGTTATGGGGGGGAATGCATGGAAGCTTTTACTGGGCTGTTTTCGGTTTTTCGGGACGGTATCTGTATTTGTATGGTGACATCAGGGGAGATTTCTCGACCCTGAACAGGTCCGAAGCTCTCAGCTCTAAACCGTATGAGCGCTGAGCCAGAAACCTTATCAACGTCTGCCCAAAAAGAGTCTACGAACCCTAAATGCCCAAGCTCGGAACCCTAAGCACTAAACTAAACCATAAGCCATAAACATGCCTTACAGGCCGTTAGGGCTTCTGAGGTTTATACCTGCTCTTGGCCCATCGGCTCCAATTCACGGAACATTTCTCCAATCACACCAGGAACCCTGCACAAATAACAGGCCTGCCTACATGTGCATGCATCTACAGATGTGGTCAGTTCTCTAAATTGTGGTCCCATTTTGGGGTACCCTAAACAAGAGGAGCCGCTATATAACAAGGACCCACAAAAGGACCACACGTTAGAGAAGTGACCATACAAGGAGGGGCCCCCTTAGTATACTAACTGTAGTTAAGGGGCTTATAACCTAATTTAGGATCCTTATAACCCAATTTAGGGTCCTTATAACTCTACTTAGAACTAGGGGGTCCCCTCCTTGTATGTATAGGGTTTCGGGTATACACACGTCCGTGTCGGTCGCTTGTGCTGAGCTGCAGATCTTCATTTTGCGAGAACGAACCCCTGCATGCGTTCTTTCTGCACGTTGTTTCTTTGCTCTTGTTGATATCGTTGTTCCTCTGCATGTCGCTGTGGCTGCTCATGCTCTTATTGTGTTTAGTTGTAGGTCATGGCCCTTTTTAAAGGGGACCCTATAACACATCTCAAGAGTAGGCGACCTACAAAGATGATGTTGGGTTCTGTAGATGACCCCCCCCCCCCCGGTTGTTTCCAAAAACCTGAACCCTAAGGAACACAAACTGCACAAGACTTCAACTTCAATCCCCCCCCCCTCTCCCTTTAGGGTCTACATGGTTTAGGCCCCCCCCCCCACCCAAACCTTAAAGCTCGCGCCAAGGAGCAACCATCGGTGGGCCCCCGAAGACGCAGTCGACAGTGAAGCAGGCGGAGTCCTTTCATTGAGTCTCTGCCCGGGCCCGTGGGCGGGTACGGGCTGATACGTATGTATGCGATATATCTCCTTGCGACAAAGATGCATACGTGTGAAAGTACCGAGAATTCTGTGAGAACTCTGCAGTGAACCCCCAAACCCCCAAACCCCCAAACCCCCAAACCCCCAAACCCCCAAACCCCCAAACCCCCAACCCCCCAAACCCCCAAACCCCCAAACCCCCAAACCCCCAAACCCCCAAACCCCCAAACCCCCAAACCCCCAAACCCCCAAACCCCCAAACCCCCAAACCCCCAAACCCCCAAACCCCCAAACCCCAAACCCTACCAAAACATCAAAACCTTCACCCGAAACCCTCAAGCCCGAAAAGATAAACCCTAAACTGCCCAGAAGGTCTCGGAAGGCAACTCGGAAAGGTCAAAGGCCTTGCCACCGTTGCGAAAGCGCTCGGGCAGCTCGTAGACGTAGACTTTCGGGCCCTCCTCAGGATAAAGCCGGCTCCAGGCTTGAGATACAGGGTGACATGGGCATGGTTTAGGGTTTAGGGTTTAGGGTTTAGGGTTTAGGGTTTAGGGTTTAGGGTTTAGGGTTTAGGGTTTAGGGTTTAGGGTTTAGGGTTTAGGGTTTACACGTGTAAGGTGAACATTCGTGTGATGTCTAGGGTGCACTTCTGGACCCACTCTGGGAGACTTGCCTCACAGTCACATGTGGGCCGAGAAGGCTCAAGAAACCGTGCAGCCCATACTTGCCCACCCTTAGTAAAAATTTTGGGCCCTCTTTAGGGTTTAGGGTTTAAGGTTCAAGGGTTTAAGGTTCAAGGGTTTAAGGTTTTTTGGCGTCTTTTGTGAGACTCGTAAACCAAAAAAGCCCCCAGGTCCCTACACCCTACCTAGACATGCCTTTTCTTCGGGCACGCTCCTGGAAATCTGCTTATGAACGATAGGATGGTCTGGGGTGTGGGTGCCGGCGTCGTCTGCCTCTGAACGACCCTAGTGCGACTAAAACGCGGCCTTCAGACCTCTCGGAATCATGCCAACCCCTAAACCCTAAATCCTAAACCACAAGAGGGAAGCCCTAAACTCCCAACCCTACACCCTTAGGCCATAAACTCCTCCCCTCCCCGTCCCTCAAAACAGCAGCCGCGATGCGTATCTGTCCGGCGCGGTCTGCATCTTTGGCAGATCCGGTGCGCCTCAAAAATTGGGGTTTAGGGTTTAGGGTTTAGGGCTTAACACTCCCAGGGCTTCGGCACTCGCGTATGAGGCAGGCAAGGTGGGTGTTCGGGGTTCATGAGAGGCATCTTGGGTTTCGTCGCTCTCGCACGTCACACGTGGCAAGGCAGGCCCCTTCAGCCCTCTGAAAAAGATCCCGAACATGATCACCTCAAACCCAAAAAGGGCCTGTCTAGGATGTCTTGCGAAAATGGCCGACCTCCAAGAAAGACCCTAAGGGTCTGTGTACCTCATTATCATATACTCGGGCCTAAAGTCCCTCTTTGGGAAGTACTTCAAGACCCAAGTGTATAGGCCCTATTTAGGTACATGGACCCTTAGAAAGAAACCCTATACCCTAAAACCCTCAAACCCTAAAACCCTGCACCCTAAACCCAAAACCCTGAACCCTAAACCCTAAACCCTAAACCCTGAACCCTAAACCCTAAACCCTAAACCCTGAACCCTAAACCCTGAACCCTAAACCTTAAACCCTAAATCCTAAACCCTAAACCCTGAACCCTAAACCTTAAACCCTAAATCCTAAACCCTAAACCCTAAACCCTGAACCCTAAACCTTAAACCCTAAATCCTAAACCCTAAACCCTGAACCCTAAACCCTATAAATCCTAAACCTTAAACCCTAAATCCTAAACCCTAAACCCTGGTTCTGGTCACCCATCTCAGCGCCCCCGCGCTCCGGGAGCAGCGCCCCCGCCGGCGCGCCCGGACAGAAGGCCGGCCCTGTGACCGCCTCCAGGGCTCCTCGATGGCTGCGGAGAGTTTGGTTTAGGGGCTTAGGGTTTGGGGTTTAGGGTTTAGGGTTTATAGGGTATAGGGTTTAGGGTTCATAGGGGTTAGGGTTTAGGGTTTAGGGTTTAGGGTTTAGGGTTTAGGGTTTAGGGTGTAGGGGGGGGACGTTCGCAGGATTCCCGAACACTGCGGCGCGAACACTGTCCCTGTAATTGTCTCAAGGCCAGAAAACCTCTGAGCAGCGGATCCTTGCATGAAACGATTTGAGACTCAACACCTCCGGAAACGCCTCACCCTCTGCCTTCCGATGCCTCAAACCCCGAACCCTAAACCCCAAACCCAAAACCCGAAACCCGAAACCCGAAACCCGAAACCCTAAACCCTAATGCCCGCCAGGCGGCTCATCCGAGGTGCTTTGTCTGTCTGGGCCTCGGCTATAGGCTCCCAACCCTCCACAACCCTAAACCTACAAAGTATCCCTGAGTTTAGGGTTTAGGGTTTAGGGTTTGGAGTTTGGGGTTTAGGGCTATAGGCTCCCAACCCTCACAACCCCAAACCTACAAGGTATCCCTGAGGGCCCCTGAGTTTAGGGTTGAGGGTTTAGAGTTTGGGGTTTAGGGCTTACAACCCCAAACCTACAAGGTATCCCTGAGGGCCCCTGAGTTTAGGGTTGAGGGTTTAGAGTTTGGGGTTTAGGGCTTCGAGGTAGGGTAGGTTCCCCTACCTAGTTGCTGAGTACCCTGGTCCGAAAAAGGTTAGGTTTTCAATTCTGGTAGGATTGTATATACCCCAAAAGGTTAGAGTTAGAGGCTATCTACTCAGCTACCAAGCCTAAATCATGGGAGTACCCAAAGAGCCCAATACCCCCTTAAATAAAGAATGTACCTGAGATCATATAAAAGATCCCGTTATAGTCTAAGGAATATTCCTGAATTGGTGTTGGGCTCTCTGGGTTTCTCGTTCTGACCGACTTCTGCGAGGTTTAACGAGGGTTGTCTGGGTACGTTGCGCCCAAGCCACTTGAAGGCTCATGGGTAGTACTTATAAGTAGGGTCATTGGTACCCTAAATATCCCTGAGCTTAGGGTTTAGGGTTTAGGGCTAGGGTTTGGGGTTTAGGGCCAAGCTGCATGGCAATCGCCGTTCTGCCAGTACGTGAAGGCTGTGCAGTGCTCGGTGCCTCGGAATTGCGTTGGAGCTCAGGCTGGGAACCTTGAAATATTTCATGGTGCTCTTAAGTTCATGGCAAAATCCTAAACCCTAAACCCTAAACCCTAAACCCTCTCTTGCCACCTGGTCTTCTTGGGCCCAAGATGATTTAAGACATTTTCCTTGAACAATGGATATTGGGCTTTTTGGGACTTGCTTGTGGGCGACTGCTGGGACGGTGCAACTTTAGGGGCCTTCCGAAAATTAGAGGGGGAGGGATACCCCTTACATTGGGCTTCAGGGTTTAGGGTTTAGGGTTTGGGGTTTAGGGTTTAAAGGGAAATCCGGACTTCTCCCCTAGGCTTCTGGGAAGTATGCCGAGGGGCACTGGCATTGCTTCTGGCAAGCCAGGGCGCTGGACTCCTCTAGACCGACTCTTCTGTCTCCGTGTGCGTGTGAGAGGGGGGTGGGGGCTTAAGCTCCCAGGAACTTTCAGACCCCCCCCCCCCCAAAGCACTCAACAAAAAAAACTCGGACAAGAACTGCACGTTCGCAAACCAAGGCGTGGGAGCTCAAGTTGTAGGAGAGGAGGAAAGTGCCAGCTCGTGCTGGGAATGGCGAAACGGGGGCAGAGGAGAGGACCGGCCCTAGACCCAATCCACCACAAGAGCAGCTGGCCCGTATCCGAAAACCCTAACCCTCATAAAGGCACCCTAAACCCAAAACCCTAAACCCTGAACCCCAAACCCTAAACCCTAATCCCTCTCCTTGCTGTGCTGCAGGTCAAACCCTGCGAGCGCCCAGTTGGTGTCGAAGCACTCTTGCGGCTCCTGCTCCCCCAGACTCGGCGCCGAGGTTGCCTAGCTGAGCCGGGTTTAGGGTTCAGGGTTTAGGGTTTTGGGTTTGGGGTTTGAGGTTTGGGGGGTTTAGGGTTTAGGGTTATACATACATATATATATATATATATACATATATATATATATATGCTCGCCCCCCCCCCATGATCCACACATTTGGCCTCGAGAAGGGGGTTTTGGGAGGGGGGGGACTCCAGACTCCAGATTACCAGAAAAAATCTGGAGTACCGGGCCCCGGACTCCGGACTCCAGACTCCAGATTTCCAGAAAAAATCTGGAGTACGGGGCCCCGGACTCCAGACTCCAGATTTCCAGAAAAAATCTGGAGTACCGGGACCCTGGACTCCAGATTCTGGAGTCTGTAATCTGGAGTCTGGGGCCGCGGGTACTCCAGATTTTTTCTGGAAATCTGGAGTCTGGAGTCTGGGGCCCCGGACTCCAGACTCCAGATTTCCAGAAAAAATCTGGAGTACCGGGACCCTGGACTCCAGATTCTGGAGTCTGTAATCTGGAGTCTGGGGCCGCGGGTACTCCAGATTTTTTCTGGAAATCTGGAGTCTGGAGTCTGGGGCCCCGGACTCCAGACTCCAGATTTCCAGAAAAAATCTGGAGTACCGGGACCCTGGACTCCAGATTCTGGAGTCTGTAATCTGGAGTCTGGGGCCGCGGACTCCAGATTTTTTCTGGAAATCTGGAGTCTGGAGTCTGGGGCGGGTACTCCAGATTTTTTCTGGAAATCTGGAGTCTGGAGTCCGGGGCCCCGGGTACTCCAGATTTTTTCTGGAAATCTGGAGTCTGGAGTCCGGGGCCCCGGGAAATACTCCAGAATTTTTCTGGAAATCTGGAGTCTGGAGTCCGGGGCCCGGGTACTCCAGATTTTTTCTGGAAATCTGGAGTCTGGAGTCCGGGGCCCGGGTACTCCAGATTTTTTCTGGTAATCTGGAGTCTGGAGTCCGGGGCCCGGGTACTCCAGATTTTTTCTGGAAATCTGGAGTCTGGAGTCCGGGGCCCGGGTACTCCAGATTTTTTCTGGAAATCTAGTGCTTAGGGTTTAGTGTGTAGGTTTCAGGGTTTAGTGTTTTGTGTTTAGGGTTGAGTGTTAAGTTTAGGGTTTAGGGTTTAGGGTCAAGCGGCTCGGCTAAAACCCAAAAAAACCCTAAACTCTGATATCCAGGCAGTAAGCATCTGAAACCCCGATGGGTTTTTGGTTTCAGGTTTAGATTTAGTAGGGCTCGAGGTTCCGGCTTTGGGGTTTACTGTTTAGGGTTTAGGGTTTAGTGTTCAGGGTTTAGTGTCTAATGTTTAGGGTTTAGTTTGAAATGTTTAAGATTTAGTTTTTGGGTTAAGTGCTAAAGTGTTTAGGGTTTCGTGCTAAGTGTTTGGGGTTTGTGCTAAGGGCTTAGTATTAAGCGTTTAGGGTTAGTGTTTAGGGTTTAGTGTTAAGGGTTTCGGGTTTGGTTTTTTAGGGTTAAGGGTTTTAAGGATTTTTACAAATTTAAATGACCTGGGGAAGGCAACGGGGCTTCTCCAGACCATTGACAACTTGAAAATCCTTCTGTTTAGGATTTAGGGTTTAGTTTTCAGGGTTTAGTGTGTAGGGTTTAGTGTGTAATGTTTAGGGCATAGTTTTTAGGGTGTAGTGTTTAAGTGTTTTGGGTTTAGTGTTTAAAAAGGGATTAGTGCTTAAGTGTTTAGGTTTTCGTGTTCAGTGTTTGGGGTTCGTGCTAAGGGCTTTGTGTTAAGCTTTAGGCTTAGTGTTAAGGGTCTACTTCTGAGTGTTTAGGGTTCAGTGCTAAGGGTTTCGGTTTCTTTTTTGGGTTACGGGCTTTAAGGGTTTTTACTAGTGTTCAGGGTTTAGTGTGTAGGGTTTTGTGTGTGGTGTGTTTAGGGTTTAGTTTTTAGGGTGTAGTGTTTAAGGGTTTAGGGTTTAGTGTTTAGGGTCTAGTGCTTAAGTGTTTAGGGTTTCCTGTAAAGTGTTTGGGGTTTGTGCTAAGGGCTTAGTGTTAAGTTTTTAAGGGTTCGTGTTTAGGGTCTGGTGCTGAGTTTTTAGGGTTTAGTAGTGCTTACGTGTTTAGGGTTTCGCGTCAAGTGTTTGGGGTTCGTGGGCCTAGTGTTAAGTTTTTTTAGGGTTACTCTTTAGAGTCTAGTGCTGAGTGTTTAGGGTTTAGTGTTAAGGGTTTCGGGTTTGGTTTTTTGGATTAAGGGTTTTAAGGATTTTTACTAGTGTTCAGGGTTTAGTGTGTAGGGTTTAGTGTGTAATGTTTAGGGTTTAGTGTTTAGGGTTTAGTTTTTAGGGTCGGGTGTAGTGTTTACGTGTTTAGGGTTTAGTGTTTAGGGTCTAGTTAAATGTTTAGGGTTTCATGTTAAGTGTTTGGGGTTTGTGCTAAGGGCTTAGTGTTAAGTGTTTAGGGTTAGTGTTTAGGGTTTCATGTTAAGTGTTTGGGGTTTGTGCTACGGGCTTAGTGTTAAGTTTTTAGGGTTAAGGGTTTAAGGGTTTTTGCAAGTTTACATGATCTGGGGAAGGCACTGGGGCTTCCCCAAACCATCTAAACTTTGAAAATCCTTAAAATCTTATAAAAATCTTTAAGCTTCTGTTTAAACATTCTCAGAATTTTGAAGGTTTTAAGGCTTTTAAGCCTATTAAAGACCTTAAATTGCTTACGTATTTAAGTGGCTGCCCTTTGCGGATTTCAGAGATTTTTGAAGTTGCCAATGGTCTGGAGAAGCCCCGGTGCCTTCCCCAGACCATATAGATTTTTACCAGTCCGTAAAACCCTGAAATTCTTGCAGTTGTAAATGGCTGTCCTTTGGATGTTCGATTCTAAAATCCGTAACTTCCTTAATTTTAAACGGCTGCCCGTTTTTAGTTTTTAAGGAATTTTAGACTTTTAAGGGAGAATAAACGTTTCGAGGTTTTTAAGGGCTTTAGAGCCTTTTAAGATCCTCTAAATCTTGAAAATTTTGAAAGGCTTTAAGTACCTCAAAACCCTTCAAATTTGAAAAGGGCTGCCCCTTTAAAGGATTCATAAAATTGCAAATGGTCTGGGGAAGCCCCGGTGCCTTCCCCAGATCATCTACATTTTACAAACCCCTAAAACCCTGAAAAGCCTTAAACTTCTAATTGCTACCCTTCTAAAATTTCATGGGGCCGCAAGACACAAGTTTCAGAAGCAAAATGCACATAAAAACACTAGTGTTTTTATAGAGGATAATATACTAGAGCTTTTTGTATTCCAGTGCAGTTTTGACTGCATTTTTCCGAGGAAAAAGCAGAAAATCAGACAAAGACGAAGACAAGAAAACCATAGGTGTGGATCATGGGGGGGGGGCTGACCATATATATATATCCTTCAAGGGAGTATGTGGGGCCCTCATTCCCTCATTCCCTACTAAGAACAAGCCAGTCTCTGGTGTCTTGGGGGTTGACAGGGTCGGGGGCTCATGGGGTTTAGGGTTTAAAAGGTTGGGGGTCTAAGGGTTTGGGGCTGACAGGGTTTCTGGGTTTACCAAGAATTGGGGTTCGCATGTTTTGTTGTGCCACCTGTCAAGGGTATGGTTCTATTTGTATAGCTTACGGTTTTGAGTTTAGGGTTAGACGAGTCGGGGCAACAGCCGATTCTTCAGTCACTGGAGCAAGGGCGAGTACAGCAGGATGCCAATGAGCCGGGAATGAACGTTTCGGATTAGAGGTGTATATAGATTTCCGGGTCTGGATGTTTTGCTTTTGATAGCTGACTGACGCCACTAAGCTGGGACGAGAGCATAGAGGGACCTGCACGCCCATCTCGATACTTGGCTGCACTTAGCAGGGTAGCTAGAAATATAATTCTTAGCTCCCATATTAAGAGACCCAATAAACCCAAAAAGGCTAAGGATCTAAAGTCGATAGTCCCCTGCCTCCAGCTCAGGGGTTTCGCTGGGGGACTTCAGGATCACCGATGCCCTCGGCCGGGATTGGAGGTTGAAGGTTTTAGGGTGCGGGGTTTAGGGTTTAGGGTTTAGGGTTTATGGTGCGGGGTCTATTCTCTTTCGGCCTTCTTTTCAGCAGCACTCCCACTAGAACCTCTAGATTTGTTGTGCTTTGAAAGGGTTTGGGCTGAGTACATTCGTTCCTGGCCGATCGCTGGGTACACTTTGACCTACTGTATGCCAAGTGGCGGAACCCTGCATCCTTCCTAAACCCTAAACTTAAACCCTAAACCCTAACCCTATAAACTCATGACCCAACTAAGAACCTGTAAGTTCAGGGTGGCGCGTCTTCATGAAAAGCCACCGAACCCAACTCCAACCCCCAAACGCTCAAAAGCCCCGAACCCTTTAGACCCCTAAACCCTAAATCCTAAACCCTCAGAAAGGCCCAAGCGTACCCGACCCACAACTCCCTGCACTCACAACTTTAGCCTATGGTTGGCGCGGACATGAGCCATCTTACACAACCATGGGTCATATACATCCCTTCTTGAATCCTGGCTCAAGCCCTAAACCCGTAAAGCCGAAACCCTAAACCCCTAAAGCCTAGTCTACATCTATCTTATAACCAGAAGAAGCCCTGAACCCCCCCCCCCCCAAAACAAAAAAAAACCTTAAACTTGTAATCTATCTTTTTGTTGTATGTGTATGTGTATGTGTATGTGTATGATGTGTATGTGTATGTATATTTACATATACATATATGCGCAATAGTATCTTTAAGAGTTCCAAGGTTTCATAGCCTAAGCCCTAAACCCTTTTGCATCCGGGCTTGGGGAGTCGGCCGTAAACCCTAAACCCGAAACCCTAAACCGACAAAAAAGAACTCTTAACGATACTATACATATATATATATGTATATATCCATCCATCCATCCATCCATCCGGGGCGCTGGGGTTCCCGCGCATCCTCGCGGAAGGCCCGCGCCTCGCGCTGAGGTGTGCGGCCTTGGCCGGGGCGGAACAGCCGGGCATCCAGGGCTTCGTTGAAGGATTGAAGGAGGGTTTAGGGTTTAGGGTGTAGGGTTTAGGATTTAGGGTTTGGGCTTTAGGGTTTGGGGTTTAGGGTCCAAAGCCTCGAACATTTTTCGACTACAGCAGAAGTACCACTCTACCGTTCCGGCCTGAGATGCTCGTCCGCACCTATCTCAGCGCAAAGCTGGCACAATTTGAACCACCGCAGCGTAAGCAGATCTTCGGAAACAAAAACCAACCCTTAACCTTATAAACCCTAAATCCCAAATCCTAAATCCCAAATCCCAAGCCCTAAGCCCTAAGCCCTAAGCCCTAAGCCCTAAGCCCTAAACCCCACACCCCCACGAGCAGCATTCGTGCTTGTTCCCCGCTCCTGGGGCCCACACTGATCGAGGGCGCCTGCGAGAGAGCCACTCTTGCCAGAGCCGTTGGCTCTTGAGCTGTGGGTTTAGGAGCTTAGGGTTTACGAGGTTTAGGAATTTAAAAAATTAAAAAAATGGAGGTTTTGGAAGTTTAGAGGGTTTAGGAGGTTTGGGGGGTTTAGGGGGTTTAGGAGGTTTCGGGGGGCTTGGTGAGGCTTGTGGAATGAGAGCCTAGGCCCGGCACCCGCTGTCAAATCAAAACGCCGGGTGCCTCCTCAGCCTGCACGCGGCCGCGCGGCGGAGCCTCGGGAATGTTGTCCGCCAAGGCCTCTGGGCTCGATGACATGGGGTTAGGAGGGTTTAGGGTTTAGGGTTTAGGGGTTAGGGGTTAGGGTTTAGGGCTCTCCTACGGCCCCCCTCAGGCTATTTAGGGGGGACCTAAGAGTAGTAGAGAGTGGAGTAGGGAAACCCACGACAATGGGGCTCAGCTGAGAAACAACTCACAAATGCATGACCAAAAGACTTTGAGAACATAAACAGTTGGGGACTGACTACACTTCCAGGCCCTTTTAGGGTTTAGGGTTTAGGGTCTAGTGTTTGGGGTTCAGGGGACCCTCCACAGTAAGGAGCATACTATATACAAGAGGCCGCACAAGGGAGTGCTCATTTGGACCACCCAAGGGCTTTATCTGTCTTTGGTCGCTCTCACCTGCAATGACCTGAACTGAACCACCCTAAACCCTAAACCCTAAACCCTAAACCCTAAACCCTAAACCCTAAACCCTAAACCCTAAACCCTAAACCCTCCCCCCTAAACCCTAGACCCCGAAAACAACCCAAGAGGTCGACCCCCCAGAGAAGCTGCCGCCGAACCTTCCAGGGTGCTTCGGGTGAGGTCGCCGCACCATGGCGCGAGTGTGTGGCCTGAGAGTTTCTCTTGGGCCTTAGGGCTAGGATGCTCAGTAACCCAGGATTAAACAGGGTACCCTTCTTGCCTCAAGGGGTTTATAAGGGAACCTAACCCCCCAAAAAAGGGGAATAAGGGCACTACTGGGCATCCTAAAGGGGGTTTAGGGCTTCGATCAGGGTTTAGGACGAGGATTTACGCTGCAGCAGCACGGCGCCTGTACGGGGATGCTTGTGGAATCGGGTGCTTCGAGACCTCCAGAAACTTGGGGATTACATGAACCCCAAAAATTGGGAACATAGACCCACTGCCACGAACAAACCTCAGTAGGGTTTAGGGTTTAGGGTTTGGGGTTTAGGGTTTAGGGTTTAGGGTTTAGGGTTTAGGGTTCATGAACCATGAGACCCCCTTTAGGGCTCATCTGGTCCTCAAAAAACAGCCTTCTGTTGGCGGCTATCTCTTTGGTGACAACTTGGAGGTTCATGGTACTTATTAACCACATGTAAGTGTACTTGCAAGCTTGCTACCATATTGGGGCACTTTAGGGGCTCATAAGTGGGCTATCAGTACAGCTATAATTGGTCATTAACTACCATGAACCTCCAAGTACCCTAAACCCTAAACCCTAAACCCTAAACCCGAAACCCTAAACCCTAAACCCGAAACCCTAAACCCTAAACCCTAAACAGACCCGTGGGGTTATCATTGGTTTACAAATACCATGAATCTCCAAGAAGTGCAAGCCAGGAGTCGAGGTAAAGCCCCACCAGCACGCCGCAGAGGATGGGCCCTCAGGGGCTTAATTAGGAGGGTTTAGGGTTTAGGGTTTAGGGTTTAGGGTTAGGGTTTAGGGTTTAGGGTTTTAAGGTTTAGGGTTTGGGGTTTGCGGTTTCGGTTTAGGAGGGTTTAAGGTTTAGGGTTTCGTGGGGTTTTCGGGCTTACCTATGAAGAACCCAAGCCTGCTTTGGTTGTAGGTGACCTAGCAATCCCACAAAAGGTGCTATAGGAATGGGTTTAGGGTTTAGGGTTTAGGGTTTAGGGTTTAGGGTTTAGGATTTAGGGTTTAGGGTTTAGGGTGTAGGGTATAATCTGCAAAAAGCTGGTTTGGTCCGCAAGGATACGGTTGCTCACTGGCATCGGTTGTCGCCTCGAATCGTTGGCCGAACCGGGGCTATGCAGCTGTACAACGCAGCTATATGGAAAACCCTTACTAAAAGGGTGCATACAACTGCACCTATACTTGAGTAAGGGTAGATATAGCTGTACTTACAAGTGCCCATGAAACTCAAAGTAGCCCCCAAACCAGGTGCTCTCTAACCCCTAAACCCTAAACCCTAAACCCTCAAGCCTCAAGCCCCAAAACAATCCATCAGCCCTCGCTGCCTTATAAGTACAGATATACTTGGAGCGATAAGTACCCTGAACCTCCAAGTGGGGCTCCCAGCAGAAGTAGTGTTGATAGTTCTAAACCCTAAACCCTAAACCCTAAACCGTGGCTCTGTATTACCGACTGAGGTGTGATCGCCTCGCATCACAACAGAACCAGGCCTTTGGACGCGAGGCCGCGGAGCCAGAGCCTGGCGTCTCAATGAAGGTGTAGGGTTTAGGGTTTAGGGTTTTAGGGTTTTAGGGTTTTAGGGTTTTAGGGTTTTAGGGTTTTAGGGTCTTAGGGTCTAGGGGTTTTAGGGTTTTAGGGTTTTCGGGTTTAGGGTTCGAAGAGAGGGAATCAACCCTCGAAACCTTAGGAAGTCTGCGAAACTTCGGCTTTTGGTGGGTGCGGGCAACTGGACTTCGGCGTGTAGGCGTGTGCCCCCATAACCCAAAAAACCTAAGCCCTCAAACCATGAACCCGAAACCCGAAAACCCTGAAACCCTAAACCCTAAACCCTCCTGCTGAGGAGGTGGAGAGGCAAGTAAGCTTCCTAGGGTCTTGGGTTTAGGGTTTAGGGGTTTGAGGCGTAGGGTGAGGGGGTGTTTGGGATTCAGGGTTCACAGGATTGAGGGCTTTGGGTCGGGTGGAGGGCCCTATACTATTGTGTTTGGGATCGGTCGGGCCGACTTGGGTTTCAGAGTTTTGGGGCTGAAGGTTCTAGGCTTCTGAATTGGGTTCAAGAGCTTATGCCTTGTGTCTTAGGTTTGGTTTCAGGGCTGCGAGGGTTCATTAAGAGAGGGCAAAGGGTGTTGGCGTTAAGGTTTAGGAAATGATTCTTCGCAACAAAGGCAGAAGAAACGCTATAAAGACTGGAACCCTAAACCCGTTTTAACCCAGGCTACCCTAAACCCTAAACCCTAAACCCTAAACCCTAAACCCTAAACCCTAAACCCTAAACAGGCTCGTAGACGCAAGCGGCATCCCGGTGGAAGGATCCGGAGGCCCCCAGCTGCCATCAGCTCATCGTGACGAGGCACGCAGGCCGGCACGAGAACGCTCAGGGGCCAGTCTGCGTGACTATGCTGGTACTGCCTGTCTCTCTCTGTCTCTCTCTCTCTCTCTCTCTCTCTCTCTCTTTCTCTCTCTCTCTACATATATATATATATATATATATACATATACATATATAGAAATATAAATATAAATAAATAAATGTAAATATAAATATATATACATATTGTATTTCTGTATATTTACATATCATATAGATATACATGGGATATTATGATATGTATTTCTACTCTTAGTGTGATTCCTAGCACAGTATAGCTTCCCAACTGCGGTAGCATTCTCTCTTCCCTGCGGCTGGGATGTCTGCTGATCGATTTTTTTTTGGTGCTTTTGTTGCCGTGCATACGGGGCTCTGAAGCTTCCGATGCCTGAGCCCGGGGGCCCGAACCCCTAAACCCTGAACCCTAAACCCTAAACCCTAAACCCTAAACCCTAAACCGGGAGGGCGAAACTTCATCCGGGTTCTTGGGTTTGGGTGTTCGGGGCTATGTGGAGCCGGGTGTCAGGTGGATATCTTGCGCCGTGGTCTTGGCATGTACGAACGATCAGGGCCCTTTTGCCTGAACCCCAAACCCTGAACCCTAAACCCTGACGGAATATTCCAGAGACCGGTTAGGATCCCGACCGCAATTCAGGGAATATGCCCAAATTCAGCCCCAAACCCTGAACCCTAAACCCTAAACCCTCTCTCATAAAACCCTAAACCCTGAGAGTCTTTGGGTTGAGGTTTGAGTCAAAAGCAGCCGTGCATGTTTGTCGCTCCGCGGCACCAAACCAGTCGCGGCTACTCCATGCAACTTCCAAGGGATCTGGGGCCACGGAGTCTTAGCGACCCAGGTCAGAAACAGAAAGGCACCCTTTTTTTGCATAAGAACCCATTCTTCCTTACATAAGGGCAATCTAGGGATTCGTATTTTCAATTCTGTTTTATCTTTTTTTGGGGCGGGAGGGGGGGGGGGGGGGGGGGTTGAAGCAAAAGGTAGCCTATGGCCTTTAACGCAACAGAAGCTCAGGGCCGAGCCTATAAGATCCCACCTTGGGAGGTTCCCACCTTAGACTGGCAGCTCCTTGGCCCGCTCTGAAGTAGACCCTGGAAAAAAGTACAGACTTTTAGGTATGACTAGCTGACCCAACTATAAAGGAACCAAAAAAGACTTAAAGAACATAAAAAAGTAAAGTATACCCAAAACATAATGGGGCTTGCAGCCCATCACTACGAATGCTAAGAACCTGCGAAAAAGACATATCCTTCCTTTTCAGGGTGAGATGGGGATTGTTGTTCTTTACTTTTACTCTCTTTTTTTTTTTTTTTGGGGGGGGGGGGGGCGGGGCGGGGGGTTCCTTAAGCAAATAGCAGATTATGCTGCCCATTAAGAGCTGTTAGTATAAGGAGGAATATTAGTTGAATTATTGTACTGAACCCTGAACCCTGAACCCTGAACCCTAAACCCTAAACCCGAAACCCGAAACCCGAAACCCTCGAGCTATGCTTCTGCTGGCTCAACGCGAGAAGCTCCGGATCCCCGCCCTAAGCCGGTTCTACGCCTTTTTGCCAGCCCAGGGAGCCTTTCAAGCTTATACTCTCCATGGATTTAGGGTTTGGGGTTTGTGGCGTTTAGGGTTTAGGGTTTCGGGCTACCCTATAGGGCACCCGCCTTAAATTGGGTTTAGGGTTCCGAATTCAGCCCTAAACCCTCTAAACCCGAGATCAGAGGCCCATGAATTCGGCCGCACCCCGAAACCGATGATCATACTTGGAAGCTCTTTTGACTTAGTAAGGCTACCTATTATCCCCTAGAATCCCTAACATGGTCCCCATATCCCACCCTTACTAACCACACTTACTAAGTCAAAAGGGCTTCCAAGAATAGGAAAAGGATCCAAAGAAGGAGGGCCTAGAATTTAGCTACATCCCCTCGGGTGGTGAGCTTAAGGGGGGGGGGGGGGGGGGGGTTGTGGTTGAAGGTTTAGGACTTAGGGAACCCTAAACCCTAAACCCTAAACCCTAAACCCTAAACCCTAAACCCTAAACCCTTAACCCTTAAAACCCTAAACCCTAAACCCTGTTTCAGGTACCTGCTGCGAGCTTCTCCATGGAGAAGGTAGCGAAGGCATCCCTGGGAGAAGTCCCCCTTGGGAGGTCTCCTTCTACTGGCTTTGTGATGTGCCAGGCAACGTTTAGGGTTTAGGGTTTAGGGTTTAGGGTTTAGGGTTTAGGGCTGATTCTGTGGCAGGGGCTGCTTGTCATTCTTCGTGGGAAGTTGGCAGGTTTAAGGGCTCAGGGGTTCAGAGGTTTCAGGAAGGTTTCCAGGGTTGACGGTTTTCAGGAAAATTTCGCGGGTTTCGTTAGAACTTCCGATTTCTCAACTGAAGCGTCAGCGGGCTCCCCCTTAGCCCTTGGCCGCTAGGGTTTAGGGTGTGGGGTTGAGCGTGTACACCGGGAGATCTGCCTGTTTTTAGGCGTGTTTTGGGGATCCATGTGGGAAGCAAGCAGTTTAGGGTTTAGGGTTTAGGGTTTAGGGTTTAGGGTTTAGGGTTTAGGGTTTAGGGTTTAGGGTTTAGGGTTTAGGGTTTAGGGGACCTGGTCAGTCCCTCCCTTCCCTAAAGTCCAAGCCTCAAATTCTGAAGCCCGAAAACTTAGGGCCCAATGCCCCAGTTTTTTTTTGCCACCCGCCTAGGTGACGGTTTAGGGTTTAGGGTTTAGGGTTTAGGGTTTAGGGTTTAGGCTCGAGTGCAATACCTTCAGTTAGCTTGAGGGCGTCGGCTCTTCTTTGCTGGTAAGGGTGGGCTGAGCCTTGCGTCAGGGCCTATTGGCTTTGATTCCTTTTTTTGGGGGGGATGTTTCAGGGTTCTTTTCGTTGCTAGCCCCAAAAGAAAAACAAGACTAAGAGTGCCCTTTTGGGTAAAGGGGCTTATGAGGGAACTTAACCCTAAGCCCACAAAAAGGGGGAATAAGGGCCTACTCTGGGTTCTTTTCGTGAAGCTCTGTTCGCATGCGTGGGGGGAGGGGGGGGTGCAATTTGGGGAACGATGCTTCATGGGAGACTTGGGGGCACGGGCTTAGGAATAGGACTGAGACTTGGCTGCACTTAGGAGGCTAGTAAAAAACTAAACTGTTAGCTGCCTTATTAAGAAACCCAATAAGCCCAAAAAAGGTAAGGATCTAAAGTTACGGTAAAGTACCACAAAGAAGAGTTTAGGGTTTAGGGTTGACCACAAAGTATGACTTGCCCTTTTGACTGAGACCTTTTCAGTAAACAGGGCATGCTCGAATCTGAAGCCTAGCCATGCCTGACGCCCCAAGCCGTCCCAGACACACATTTCGAGAGTGTTAACGTGCGCGCGCGAAGTGCGCGTGAATCAAGGGATCCATATACTCACACCCCTAAGGATGTACCGCTAAAGGTGTCCCTGAGCATCCTGCGAACTTGGCCCTTATGCCACCTTATTATAAGGATCTTAAAAAAGGGGGTCCCGGAACGGTAGAGTCCCTTGAGTGAAACGCATGCGTCGTATCTTGGGTCACCACGGTCCCCGCAGCAAAGCATGTTTGGGGTTAGGGTTTGGGGTTTGTTTAAACCTTCTTTTCTGTCCCACTGGGCTCGTGTCTATAGCCAGATCGTCAGTCCTTTCTAAAAACCCTAAAGCCTGAACCCTAAACCGAATTAACCCTATAAACCCCAAACCCTTGAGCAGCTGTGCCCTGATTCCTTGGGGTGTTTGTGACTCCTTATTGGCGACCAAAACCCTAAACTCTAAACCCTAAACCTCAAACCCTAAACCCTAAACCCTAAACCCCAAACCCTAAACCCCAAACCCTACTTGTCTTGGCTGCACTTAGGAGGGTAGCTATAAATTAAATTTTTGGCTGCCTTACTAGGAAACCCAATGAACCCAAAAAGGCTAAGCATCTAAAGTTACAGTAAAGCACCACAAAGTTGTGAGCTTGGTGCTTCTTGGGCTGTTCTCGGCTTGGGCCGGCCAGGATCCTTGCGTCTACTTGGAGGTTCAGGGCACTTACCGTGCTACAAGCCCCCTAAGTCCTTTAAGATGGCTATAAGTGGACGAATAGTGTGCTTCTGAGTACCCATATGAACCCTATAGTGGATGAAGGAAAGACTGAAGGCCCAAGCCCAAAACTCTGGTGTAGGGTTTACGGCTGAGGGTTTCGGTACCCGAAAACGCTAAACCCTCACCGCTAGTCAGCCCTCAAGGTCAATGGGGCCCGCCCTAGATCTCCCCAGTTCTGGTGCTGCAGACCGGATGTCGGAGCAGCGACAACCCTCCGCCTTCCTCCCATGAGGAAGGACCTATGGGCGCCAACTGCGTATAACAAGTTGTGGGAGGGGGGTGGGGGGGGGGGGGGAGTGAGGTTTAGGGTGTGGAGGGTTTAGGGTGGGTCGGTAGGGTTTATAGGGCTTATAGGGTTTGGGGAGGGTTTGAGGCTTTTTCGTTTCGGGCGTTTTGCGGCGCAGTGGGTGTCTTCAAACACCCTTGACGACTTAGGGTTTAGGGTTTAGGGTTTAGGGCTTAGGGTTTAGGGTTTCCACAAGCTCCCAAGCTCGCGCTCAGGAGCTTCAGTCGGGCATGCTGTTTACCTCGGATCTGGCTTGGTCTTCCTTAACTGATTCATGGTTGGGATAGTATGATTTCCTTTTCTGCCTTATGGGGCTTAAGTACCCTTAAGAATGTAACATTTTTCACAACTATGACAAAGCTGCAACGTCAAATCCTGAGACCGCAAACCGTCAAAAAGCTCAGTCCCGGAAACTCTCACTAACTACTGCTTGCTTAACACCCCCCCAAACTAAGATGATAATCCCGATGTTGCCCTTATAAGGAAGAACATGCGTGTTTTTTTTGGGGGGGGGGGGGGGGGGGGGTCTTCAGCCAGTAGTAGCTAAGGCTCT